ACTTCCTGCTATAGGAATGTTTCTACCTGGAGGCAAATGGTAATCTTGGCTTTGTTCTTTTGAGGGGGAAATAGGAATCTATGACAGTTTGTAATCTTATCTGTATTCCTTGTGAGTTTTAGGATCTTTTGTCTTTGTAAAATACTTGCCAGAAATATGTGTATACGTCTAACAAACTTGCTCAGCCTTTTGCGTTTTGAACTTTACAAATAAACTACTGGGTGAATTTCATGCTTCTGTTTTTGAACAGAACTAGATAAATTCAAAATTTAGCACCTCAAAAGTTCCAAAATTTTTTTGAGGGCTCTCAAATTAATTCAATATCCAAACTTGCCGAGACACAGTATGACAAGCAGACTTTAGGTTACCTTCTGAGGAACTAGTTGTTCTCCAAAGTTTGACTCTTGCAAATGACAAAAGTTGAAGTGAATCAATCAAATAAGCTTTCCTTTAGCCATAGATCATACACCCGGAATGTGATATGCTCAAAATTATTCATAAAGACAGTAAAAGGAGGGTTTGTGTGTATATTCCCTCTATAGAGTTAACTGTTGAGACAGCCAACTCTGCAAACTGCTGTGTTTTCCTACTAAGTCAGGATACACTGTTGTGACCTCTGAAATCAGTTTAGCTGTCCAGAGGCTCTGAGCACTGTTTATCACACTGAACAAATAGATTTTGGGACTACGACTCAAATATTTATGTTAACTTTTTAACTAGTGTAGGCAGTGAATAAGCTCTTCCCTTGGACTTCTCTGTAAGTTTCAAAAGTAACGAGAACCAAATGTGAGAGAGAGGTGGTGTGGACTGTAGCCCAAACATGTGGCATAAAATACCAGTGGAATTAAGTTGAACCCTAGCTTGCATGGTGCCCAGAGAACTTTGAACCCCCAGGAGGAATTTGCATCAAGTGAAGTGAGTAGAAATTGCAACCGTTTTGTTTGTTTGCTCCTTTTTTAGACTGAAAACCCAGTGTAATTTAATTCCAAAGCCATTCCGCTGACCTCAGGGCTGAGGCGTGGAGAGGTCAAACGACTTCCCCTGATCAAACAGGATGTGTGTGGCACAGCCGTGAATAGAGTCCAAATTACTGGGCCCATGTAGTAACCATAAGGACATTCTTAGTGTGACAAAAGCTGTTCTAAGTAGATTTAATCATTTGCCCAACTCGGCTGCATTCTTAGTGTGACAAAAGCTGTTCTGTTTTAAGTAGATTTAATCATTTGCCCAACTCGGCTTTATGAAATACTGCAATGATAGCAGAGAAAATGAACTCTAAGTGCTTGTAGTAAAAAGCTGTGAATATGTCAATTGACATGTAATTCTGTAATTCTCTACTGAAATTCAGAGAGAGAAAGATTGTGTAGTATGCGGTGAAGTCTCTTCCCAGCAGTTCTGTGGCTTTGTAGTTTAGAAATATTTCCTAACAGTCTGTGTTCCTTGGTAGTTCTGTTTCTGTTCCAGGATCTAAAATGTACTAGCACCAAGTGCCAGCCTGTGATGTTCTTATGAAGTTGTTTAATTATTAAACTTCTGTAAAACAGAAGGGGACAGGAAATCAAACTTCCTGGTCAAATGTTCTGAAACCTATGTGCTTAAAATTAAGCAACTATACTCATAATTAAGCAACTGAATCAAGGAGGCTCAGTTTTCAGAGCTGCTTGTGACCTCAGCAAACAGGAACAGACTCCAGTCAAACAACTGCTAAGCGTGGGCTTTACACAGGCTGTTTACTATCTTAAAAAAAAAAAAAAAGACAGGATGAAGTCTAAACTTGGTTATATTCATCCATGTGCAGTACAACACTGTTCTGTAACCTGTGGCTGCCCCCAGGTCTTATTGCCAGGCCTCTAACCACACTTTCCTGTTTATTAAAAAGTATTTTCCTTGCTTTGGCTCCTTTTTGCAACCCCAGACCATCAGGAACTGAGCCAGTGAACTGCACCAAATGTTCCTTACCCTTTCTAGCAGTTGGCCTGAAAGCCAAGTGGAAACTGCTGGCAAAATGTCTTGTTTTCTCTACTGAGCCTCTGTTTGCATACAGGTTCAGGAGAGTCTTTCCAGCCTGGAAATTAGGCAGTTTGTCAAAGATCATACAGGAAGTCAGTGACAGAATAAGGAATAGAATTAAATTTCTTAACTTTCAAGACCTATAATGGAACCGCAAGACAGTTCTGACTCTGAAAGTTTATTAATAAATAAAACCCAGACTCATGCATTTGAGACTATGTGTGTTTCAAGAACACAAAGAAACATCCCTGCTGAATGATGGTTAATGGTTATCCCAGAAGAAAAAAAAAATCTGAGTCCTTATTGATGTAAACAAGCATAGCTCCACTGAAAATCCCTTACTGTTTATCTTTTTCAGGGCAGGACTTATGACTGTGAGTCCTGTTACAGAAATGCTTCATATATGTGGATGTTGGAGGTAAAACTTTCTAGGCTTTGCAAATGTAATCATCAGACTTTGCGGAGCCCTAGCCATAGAGTCTAGTTTCAGGATCTGTGCACTGAGAGAAATGGTAAGCAATGTTCCTCCTGATTTTTGGTCCCACTGCTAAAGAGTTACTGCATTGGAAGACTAGGAGTTAGAGATAAGGAAAATACAAGCTTGGAAAAACAATTGCATTCTAGAGATACGCTCTTTCAATAGAGGAGTTTTAAACTACAGGAGGCTTGGTAAATATTTGGCATTTATTTAGGTTATGTTTTCTTTCTCCTGCTATACATCATCTTTGAAATTCTAAATATAAAATTAACGTTGCTGAGCAGTATGCAAATGTTCATTATTGTCATGGTTTTTTATCACTGTTATGGAAAAAAAGTTGGGGCATTACATATATAGGGAGGAAATGTTTGAATCCAAGTATTGTTGCATTGTGCTAGATCTTGAGAAACTTAAAAGCAAAATTGATTAGTGACTGGAATACAGGATGTTAATCAGCAAGAGACTGAAAAATTGGTTTTTGTTTTGTTTAATTGCATGAATTCGATCTGAATGTATAGTTCTGTATATAGGTAAAGACACTTAAAAATGCAATTATTAACCTGACTGTCCTCTGAAACTGCCCAAATGTAATGTTGTTCCAGATGTTAGTGGTACTGCTCCGTGTTTATATTACTTCTCAGCAGCTGTTAAGCTATTTGAAAAAATGAGTCAGATGGGTGGTACTGGTATTTGATGCAGAATCTACCCCCAAGGGGCATGTAATTACATAAATGCAGCGCAGTAAGTATCATTTTATCAGGACAGCAAACCAAATAACATTCCTTCAGCCTGATGTAAATTATAAAGGGCGAATTTTATCATAGCCTTTTGACAGAACGGGCTGTATTAACTCTTACTATGTATTTTTTTATTAAGAGATACGAAATTACACAATTCTCCCCCCTCCCCCCCAGCCCCTTGTCTATCCATCTACAAATGAGAAATCTAATCCCGCTAATGCGTGTGCACATGCCATAGCTTCACTTGTGTGAGTAATCCTTTCAAAATAAGTGAACTGCTTTTTTGGAGGAAAGGTATGTACATGAACAGGAGCTTGCAGATGTCGTTCTGCAGGCAGTGTGCTCTGGAGACCCTGCCTCTGTTATCCTTAGCATGATAAAATTAATGGAATCACAGGAATGCAGGGCTGAGTTCCAAAAGCGTGGTGTGAATTTCAGTTTCTGAGTGGAGCTGGCGCTCGGAAGTGTACCGGTGAGCTCATCCATAGTACAGCTAATGGGTTGGTCGTATCCTGCTCTCAGGGACAGGTTTTTTTAGTGCAGCTGAGTCCAGCCAGACAATATAGGTTTAAATGATAATGGAATTTAGCAGAATATTTATTTTGACCATGGCAGATACACAGACTGTGACCATCTGTGCTGTGCTGCAGCTTTATCTGTATTGTGGAATGAACACATAACTTCTGAGTGCTTTTTCCTGTTCAATCTCTGGTTACTGTTTTCCCATTCATTTCTCTTTTTTTCTCGGTTTTTCTTTTGGTCGATATTTTCCTTTCCCTCCCCTTCTCTCCCTCCCACACTCTTACTTTAGAGTTTTAGAAGAAAATTCCTATGTGAAAAATCATTTTGTACTTGTAAGTTCCAGAACCTTTTGCATCAGAAGAAAACTGAGATTGTTGTTCTGTCTTAAAAAAAAAAAAAAAAAAAAAAGAAAAAAGGAGGCACACATTTTCATCTATAGCTCTTACAGTGTGTCTTATTCTTCTGGGAAGCTTTATTTTCTTTCACCTAGTACCTGTTTCTCTGCTCACTAGTGGGAGAATACCACAATTTTGTGTATTGTCCCTGAAATACGTTCTGTATGTTTTCTTCCCTACATCCTTTGCTGTGTTAGGAAATCTAATACATTGAATGTGTCTGGGAATCAGCATTCCTTGATACAAAGATAGATACATGGTAGAGAGGAATAAACCCATAAGCTTTCAGTTGCTGGAGAAATTGTCATCTATGATTTTGTTAACTATAATTTGAGGGGTGGGGTGGGGGTGGTGACTTTCTAAAAAATGTCTTCCTGGCATTTTGACTGCACTTTTTTGCCTACAAAAATGCCTGGTGCTTCTCTGATTTCTGACATATAATCCATAAAACTTGCTTCAGATAGGAACAGAGCAGTAAAATATGAAACCTGACTAGAAAAGAAAAGAAAAGAAAAACCACACTTCAGTAAAACTTTGCAGCTGGTCTCCCAGTAATTTATCAGTGATACTGTGCTCAGTGCTTTCTGTTAAGAAATAAATGCAGAGAAAACAATTCCTGAAGATTACAAGTGTTGTCTTAAGTATTTCTTGAAAAGCCTGTGACCAAAATACTCCACAAGCTTTGTGCTAGCAACTGACAGCTAAAAAGCAATAGATATGTGAAAGTAAGTCGCTGTTTTGAGTTTTTTGTGACCAAGAACTTAAAGGAATTGCAAGTTACTATTTGCAGTGCAGTAAAAAATTTTCCCTTTGACTGTTGTATTTCTTTTCTTCCCCAGAAAGCAATTGTGCAACATGGCATTTGAAGATTTTGAGAACTACTCTTATTTCTACGACCTGTCTGAGGAAGACGAATCACCCCAGTCCTCCCTCAGCATTGCCCATATGATTTCACTTTCCTTTTACAGTGTGGCATTTCTGCTGGGAGTGCCAGGTAATGCCATCGTCATCTGGTTTATGGGCTTCAAGTGGGATAAATCTGTTTCTACACTGTGGTTCCTCAATCTGGCCATTGCAGATTTCATTTTTGTTCTCTTTCTGCCCCTCTATATTACATACGTGGCAATGGGCTTCCACTGGCCTTTTGGGAAGTGGCTCTGCAAAATGAACTCATTCATTGCACTACTTAATATGTTTGCCAGTGTTTTCTTCCTGACATTCATCAGCCTGGACCGCTACATCCGCCTAGTCCACCCCGTCTTTTCCTACAAGTATCGGACTGTAAGGAACACGCTCATTCTCAGTGGGATCATTTGGACGTCAGCTGCAATTATTGGTGGCCCTGCCTTATACTTTCGAGACACAGCCACAGTTCTCAACAATGTCACCATTTGCTACAACAACTTCCATGTGCATGACAGAGAACTTATTTTGCTGACACATCACATTCTCATTTGGGTGAGGCTTGCATTCGGTTACCTCTTTCCTCTAGTGACCATGGTCATTTGTTACTCCTTGCTGATTGTCAAAGTGAAGAGGAGAACTGTATTGACTTCCAGCAGGCTTTTCTGGACCATCATTGCTGTAGTTGTAGCTTTTTTTGTTTGCTGGACACCATATCACATATTCAGCATTGTGGAACTGTCTGCTCACCACCATGAAAACTTGCATGACTTACTGCAAGATGGCATTCCCCTCTCCACTGGCCTTGGTTTTATCAACAGTTGCCTCAATCCAATCCTCTACGTTCTGATTAGCAAAAAGTTCCAGGCCCAGGTCAAGACAACAGTCTCTGAGGTGCTAAAATTGGCACTGTGGGAGGTGAGCCGGTCGGGAACTGTCAGCGAGCAGCTGTGGAGCTCGGACAACACCCATGCGCCTGTGCACTATTGTGAAACTGCTCAGTGACTGCTCTTGTCACCATCGCGCTCCAAAATAGCTGACGGGAGATTTGGAGATATTCTTGACTCGCATCTGCCAGTCAGATGTGCATCTTTGCATATACAGTCTTATGTAAACAGCTGGCTTAATTGCACGTGATGCTTTCTTTGAAAGGTTTTTAAAGGACACATCGTTTGGGTGTGGAGTACTGGCTGTGCACATGCAGCCTGATCTGAAAGTTGTCAGCAAAAGTGGAATTACTCTGTGTTTTTTGATCAGGAATGTTGTTGTAATCCTGTTGTTTTGTTATGGTTTCAGACCTTATGGATATAAAAAGAGCACATAATAAAAATAATCCTCCTTGCCATCACTGATAACACTCAATCTAGGCATTCTTACCCAAGAGGTCATGGCCATACATCAATGGGTCTTGAATCTCCCGATTGTCTAGTATTGCCTTAAGTAGGGATCACCTGGCTACATCCCAGCTAAGTGAAGCTATCAGTGGTTCTACGCTGCAGCTAGAGAAGAATCCCGGGACAGAGAACACTGAATTGCTGCCTTCTCTTGTCAAAAATAAAAATATGGAAATAAATGTTTTCTCCCAGTGCTTTCTATCCTGTCCTTAAAACTAAGACAGGAGATCCTGTGTTTTCTGGTCACTTATTCCTGTGCTTTTAGCACTGAGCAAATGTTTCAGATAGGTGTTAGGCTCATTTGAAGTGTGCAAAGAACTAGGGAAAATGTTTCTTGGAGAAGCTGAGATTAAAGGCCCCCTGACACATTTGTTCTTTTTCCATGTTATAAACTTTCAGGCTTAAAGAGGTTTACAACTATCATTTTCTCTTTAATGCTCTGTAAAATAAAGGCAAAGAAACAATCTAACATTTTGTTTGCCTTAATGCCAATCTTCTAAAAATGGCCAGAATGAATTCAATGATATTCTGTCACAAGTCTGTAGCCGAATTTGGACTTTGTGCCAAATGAGAAGGCAAGACAGTACATCCAGGAAATGGAGTCCACTCCCTTAAGAAAGATGAAGTAGTCCCAGTTACGCGGTGTTCTGTTCCAGCTTGTTGCTTGCTGTGGAATCACACATGTATCAATGTAAATATGTACGCTAAGTGGAGTGGACCAACTTCTGAGGCAATACCACTTAATTAAAAAGTTGAATGTGGGATAAAACACTGAAAGTGAGAGCATGAACTTTGGGTAAATTTGACGCAGTTTTTCCTTGTTATTGGCCTAGGTATACAGAATAAAACTGCCTTTCAGATAATCTACCTGGTTTCTATGGCCTGCCAACACACATAAGTAGCACGTATGCTGTAAATGGGGCCTTATATGTAAATATATTTGCTTTTGGAGAATATACATGTGCATGCATGAGCACATCCAGTTTGGGTAGCTGTACAGATAGAAGCAGCCTAACTGTGGTCTGTAACTGTTTCTATGGGCTCTGGTTTCAGAGTTTGGGTGAGTCAGGCAGGATCAGTGGAATTTCAGTGTATTTAACTTTGGGCTGGAAAGCTGGTAAGCAGCGCTCTTCCCTTTGAGTCATTTGCTGCCTGGTACACAGTGACTCATCATCATATTTTGGCTCCGTACTGCTGAATGTGCCTAAATCAAACATTTTGCAGTTTTTTCTTCACATGTTCCCTGACACCTTTCTAAGAATGATGTGTTAGTACTACTCTCCTGACTGTGCTCCAAGTGAAGTAATAAAACTTCGTTGTTTTGAAAGAGTGCGTTCGTTTGCTTTTCTCAGCATCGGGGACTGTCCGTTCTTAGAACAGCTCCTTCCCAAGGATTTTGGAAGATGAAAGCAAGCCCTGACCCTTTCTACTACAGGAACTAAGGTTTATGTCAGCTGTCTCCTTTCGTGTCAGCTATGTGAGCGCACATATTGCTATGTGTGCTATGTAAAGAGCTCGATTTTCAAATGGGGGAACATACATATGCTGTCTTGCATAAATTATCAGAAAGCCTCCCCTGAAGCAGACAACGGAGATACAGAAGAGAGTTGAATAAGGCCAAAGTCAGCCCTGGTCTGTGGAAATAAGCGGATTAGCAATTTTGCAATGTAACTACTACCTCATTCACACCAAGATCAGTTAGAGAATTATCTCCAAATCACTTCTGCAAGAGTAATAGAAGATACCTAAACAAAACAGACAACGCTCTGAGCTTCTGTTTTCAAAGAGTGTCCAAAACAATACCAACAGTTCTGACGCTGCTTGGACCGAGGAATGCTCATTTGATCCACCACAATGGAAAAAAGCCATATGGAGAGTATCTGTCTTATAGTCCTAAAAGATACTATAGAAAAAATAGGAAATTTCCGTCACAGGCAATAGCTCTGTGATCAACCATTCATTCAAGAACAACAGCTATTGCCACATTCTGTAATAGACAGGTTCTGGTTACTTACTCTTACCTGCTTCCTGAACAGTTAACGCTTGTGAAGGTTGTTATGTAGACCAGTTTGTAACCAATTCTTTTGCTGAAACTGTTTTGCCAGTATTGCTCTATATCACATCCTTAAGTTACGGAACTTTCTGCAGATCTGTCTGAGATAGGGTGTACTTGGGATAGAAGTGCCTCATTTACTGTAAGATGCTGATTTTTCACAGGTACAAAGATGCACTAATATACCAGCACATACTCGAATACTGCACAAAACCCATGACAGAGATATATGTGGACTCTGCGGAATTCTCTTGCCCACATGCCTACCTATTTTGTATCTGGGGAGACTCTAGCTTTTTTTGTTTTGTTGTTGTTTTGTTTTTTCCTGTGCAGCAGGTTTCTTTCTCACATCAGGGAAAAGAAAAACGAAACAAACACAAAACCCAACAACTGAAAGAAAACCCAACAATTGAAGAGTTTGTACATGCCTGCTGAGCTAAAGGAAACACACACACAAAAATCCAGTCTGGCAGGTCAGGTGGGTGGCTCATAATGCTGTATTTTAGCAGAGTTACAGTCTATAAATCAAACCATTTATCCACTTAGAGCTTTAATTTCAAGGTCAAGGAGAGAGTTTAACAATAAATTTTTTAATAATAAAAAGGATAATAAAAATTTGTGGCAGAATTTTTATTTCATTTTTTTCTGATGTGGCATTTGCTGTTTTCCTGCTTTTAACAGCATGATGACAGACCAGCTAAACCTGAGCTGTGCGATTTAGCAGAAGCAACAGCTGGAGAATTGCTGCAGAAAAGAGGACTGTGCATTAATTATACACAGGGTGAGGCTAGTCCTTTAGGAGTAAACTTTATGGAAGGTGGGAACAAAGCCTGTAATTATACTTACTTTCAATTCTTTACTCATGCTTTAAACCTCTGGCAGGCAGATTTTTCTTCTGAGACGACTTATAAAACAGAGCTGTTGCATAATGTGAAGTTGGCAGACCTTGAACCAAAGAGGAACAGGACCTGCTGTGCCAGATAACTGCACACAGATGCTCTGCGAAAAAAGAACGAAATGAGTTGTTTTAGCTGCTGTCGCCAGGCTTCGGCACTGAGCATCTTCATCTCAGAGTGACCAACGTGGCGCATAAAAGGCTTCCATTTCGTGGTCACAATAAATTCCATATCGTAATCCAACAGGCGGCCTAGAAACGTGAATTGGTCTAGAAGCTTGACAGCTTTTACATTTTTATCATTCCTACAGATGGAGTTTTTGGAAAACAACTTAGTTCTGATAGGTTCTTCAATCTCTAAAAAACCTCAAAAATCAATCTAGAAACCAATCTGCAGCCGAGTCAGCAGCTCGGACTGGTGTGAATTACGCTGCTTTATCTTCGCGTTTTAATTGGACACCTGTTCTTTTGCTGGTGGCGGTGGTTTTGGCCTGGAGCGCGCTCCCGGCGCGCCG